CCTCCATTTCCCCCCCCCCAACAACTATCCCATGAGTTATCTTGAGCTCCTTTAGTCATACTACTGAACTTCAGCAAGACCAGAAAGACTGTAATATATAGTTACTATCCCAAAATATTTGAATAGTGTTATTTCATTACATTCAGGTTAAAAAAGCATTCTCTAACAACATTTTTGGGAGGAATATCTAAAAAATGAACTATAGTTTATGATATAGTGATATTTGGCTTCTATTTATTTTTAATTATATCTTTTTTCTGCATACATGAATATTTTGTCTTTAATTTTAATTTTGTGTTAAAAACAAAGACTTCAATATATTTAATAATGAACCTTTATTGATTAGAATATTAATAAATATACCTATGCTGAACACAATCACATAATTTACTACAATTTATGCGGTTCTAAAGTCCATCTCTCCCCCACAACTTCAGTGATGTCACGCTAGCATCTCAATCATAATTAACAATCAAGGCTCTCTGGGATCTCTTATCAGCTTTTGATACCATCAACCAGGTATCTTTCTGCATCAGCTTCAAAAGACTCCTTAAGCAGACTCAATCCTTATTTGGTTTGCATTTTGTTACTTTATTTATTTGTATCCTATCCTGCCTTTATTTTTACAAATAGCTCAAGGCAGTGAACATATCCAACACACCTTCCTCTTCCTATTTAGCCCACAATAACAACCCTGTGAGCTGGGCTAGGTTGAAAGAGAATGACTGGCCCAAAGGCACTCAGCTGGCTTTCATACTGTTAAGATGGGACTTGAACTTAAGGTCTGCTGCTTTCTAGCCAAGTATCTTAACCAATAGACCAACTATTAATGATCTGCTATATTACATGCTTAAGTTTTATTCTTAGCTTCATCTGAACTGCCTAAATGGAACAGATTCCACCCACATGCTGAAGAAACGTCTCTCCAGCCAACTGGGATACACGAAACAGGTTCTGTGTTCCTTTTGCAATAATGGCATACAATCAGGGCTTTTTTTTCTCATAGAACGCCCAGAATTTAGTTCCGGCACCTTATTTGGATGGAACCTTGTAGGATAGGCAAGGCGGGTTGTATGACGTGTGTGTTTTTTTAGAAAAAAAAACCACTGCATACAATAGTAGTAGATTACTAAATCATTCAGACAATCTCAACATCTTTGGACTACTGACCAGTATCTCTACTTTTCCATTTCCTTATCTCACCTGTACATTTTCTGAGCTACAGAAAGGGATACATCGAAGGTAGCTCCAGCTGCCGATCGAAGGCCCTCCGGAAACATCTCTGTCAGACCCCAAAGTCTCTCTGTCAGGGTCTCATCCAGCTGCAACAAGGCGAGAAAAAAACGAAAACTAGGAGCCTGCCTGAGCCTCCAGCCCAGTGTTTCTCAACCTGGACCATTTTAAGGCATGTGGACTTCAACTCCCAGAATTCCACAGCCAGCATTGCTGGCTGTGGAATTCTGGGAGTTGAAGTCCACATGCCTTAAAATGGTCCAGGTTGAGAAACACTGCTCCAGCCTGTTCCCCCTACCTGCAGTTGAAGACGCGTGGGCTCAATCACGGAGACCACGACTATTCAGGCATCCCTCCGAGGAGACCCTCTTCCAAAGCACCGGGAGCGAACGGCGCCCTGACAAACACGTTCCCAACTAACCTCGTGGAGCCCCGGCCGTCTCGGCACGCTCTGTCCCGCCCCCAGGAGAGGTCAAGCCTCGCACGGCTTGGCATTCCGCCTAGGCCCTGTACGGAGTTCCGCGGCAACGACCCGCTTACCTCGTCTTCCTCCTCCTCTGTGTCCTCTTCCAGCTCCTCCGTTTTGCCGGCGCCTCCCTTGGCTGGCAGCAGGTCTTCGGGAGACAGGGGCGTCAAGGCGGCCATGACTGCTAGCGAGAGAAGAACGGGCACTGAAGTCCCGCGGCGGCTAGACCGTCACCGGAAGTTAAGATCTTGAGGCTGATAGCCCCGGGGCCCTTCTGCAATTGCACAGCGACGCATAGCGCCCGGGAGGAACAAGTGAAAGTAGCGCAAGGGCTTAGCCCCGCGTTTCTCAAGCTCGGTAATTTGTGGAGGCGTGGACTCCTCTTCCAAGTTACTGAGGTTAAAAATAGTGGCCTAGACTGCAGTATTTCTCAACCTTGACAATTTTAAGGCATGTGGACTTCAATTCCCAGAATTCCACAGCCAGCATTGCTGGCTGTGGAATTCTGGGAGTTGAAGTCCACATGCCTTAAAATTGTCAAGGTTGAGAAACACTGGCCCTAGAGCAGTGGTTCTCAACCTATGGGTCGGGACCCCATTTGGGGTCGATCGACCATTTCATGGGGGTCGCCAAGCAAGGCTGTCCGCCATTTTTTTTCCCTTTTCCGGAGGGTGCCTTACCTCCCTTGGGCTGGGCCAGCTGGTGGTCGGCCTGCTCCGTCTCTGCCGCTTGCCAGATACGCCTCGGCCGGCGCAGGGGGCGGAACCACGCATGCGCGGTGCTCCCGGGCAGGGAAAGTCCTCGACTTACGACCAGTTGGGTAGTCCTCGACTTACGACCGGTTTAGTCCTCGACTTATGACCAGTTTAGTCCTCGACTTACGACCAGTTGGGGTCACGGCATTAAAAAGGTTGAGAACCACTGCCCTAGAGCAAGAATTTTCAGCCAGTGATAGGCAGTACCTGGCAGGTGGTGCGCGATCTAGACAAGTGGGGCGGGGGTCGGAATGAGCTGAAGCGGCCACAGCGCCGGCACAGGCTTGGGGGAGAGTCAGCTGGAGCTACAGTGTTACCGGGGCTCTGCTGAGGGGCCAGGATCGGGGCACTTGGCTCCCGTTGATAGGCGCTTCCGGCAGCCTCTGCTCTCATCGGGAGCAGCGGACAGGCCTTGGGGTGACAGAGTCAGCTGGAGCTGCAGGGCTGTCGAGGCCAGATCCAGTTGATCAGCACTGTATACCATGGCTTTTCAACCTTTTCACCCATTGTACCGCTTTTAGGATATGGCAACATCCGAGTACCGCCAGTCGCCTAGCAAGGTGTCAAAAACCTGATGACCCCCCCCCAAAAAAGGAAAAAAGTGATAAAGTACAGGTAGTCCTCGACTTACAACAGTTCACTTAGTGACTGTTCGAAGTTACAATGGCACTGAAAAAAGTGCCCCCCAAGCCACAGCCGAGCAAGATACCTGCCTGCCCACCTGGTGGCGCTCTTCCTCCTGTCCGAGGTTTTCATAGCTGTGAGCATTTCTGTTGAGGATTGGCAGCAGGGGTGGGGTGGTGTTTGGTTTTTAATTCCCCCCCATCTGGGTGGTTGCAGCAGATTTTGGTCACTTCACATGACCCTGGGACACCATAACCGTCATAAATATGAATCAGTTGCCAAGCATCTGAATGTAAATCACAAGACCCTGGAGATGCTGCAACATTCCAGCTGATCGGCGCTTCTTCTGCGCTCAGAAGCACCAGATCAGCGCCAAGCTCCAGCTGGAGCCTGGCGCTGATCCTGGCGTTTCCGCTGAGCCCTGACAGCCCTGCAGCTCCAGCCATCTCTCGCTCAGGCTTGTGCCAGTTCAGCTCATTCCCTTCCTCCACTACCACTTTTCTAGGATGGTCGCGTACCACCTGCCAGGTGCCAATGTACCACAGATGGTACCCGTACCACTGCTTGAAAAGCCCTGCTGTATACGATGGCCAGCCATGGGTGACCGCATGGGGGAGTGAGACTAGGGTAGCTTCCGACAGCCAGAGCTCCCCCTAAGGGGTGCACCCGTAAGAGAAAAGGAGGGGAGAGAGAGGAGAGGATATAAAAGGTTTTGGCGGGAGAGGCTTCTGTGAGACAGGCAGAGGGATCCACGAAGGAGCAGAGGCTGTGGAAGAAAAGCCCAGCAGACAGTGGAGGAGGGAAGGGAAGAAGGGCCGACTAGTCACCTGACCACCAGAGTATCGTTACATATTGATAAATATGTTTGTCAGTGCAGAGGGAAAGCGATTCAGCAAAGGAACCACCACCAAAGATATTAAAACCAGCACCAAATTGAAAATACAGTGAAAATAATTTGAAGTTTGGATTTTATTTCGTGGAAGAAAATGATCAGCAGCTGCCAGTTTGTGTTATCTGCAATGAATCCAAGCATTTCATGAAGCCACATTTGCTGCAGACATTTAACAAAACAAAAAAAACCTAAAGACCACACTGAAAAAAGCCAGTAGTATTGTTCTTGAAGAAGAGAGACGAATTTATAAAATGCCATGCTGCTTTCATGAAGTCCACAACCATGTCAAAAAATGTCTGGAAGCATCTTATGTCTATCAATTGTCCTTGATAGCTAAAAGAAATCAGCCTCACACAATCATTGAAGAAGTCATGGTTCCCTCTGCCATTACAATTGCTTCAATTCTCTTTGTTGAAAAAATGGCTGATGTTATTCGTAATATTCCATGTTCTAACAACACTGTCCAAAGACAAATACAAGATATGGCCACAGACATTACTCAACAAGTGGTGGAAAAGATCACAGCAGCAGAAAAATTTGCATTTCAATTGGATGAAAGTATTGACATCACCAGTGAAGTACAATTAATTGTCCTTGGGCAATTCGGACTATATACTGGAACACGTATTGTTTTGTCGTCCACTACCAGGCAGAATACCTGGGGAAGAAGTATTCACAATAATTGACATTTTTTTCAGTGGGCATGGAATATTATGGACTTGGTGTGTAGCAATTTGTTCCGATGGTGCAGCAGCTATTACAGGAAGAGCTTCGGGCGTGATAATACAAGCTAAGACAAGAAACAGTTCTATTATTTCAAATCATTGCATCTTGCATAGACATGCACTTCTAAACAGATGAGCCCATACTATGGCCAAAAGACTGATACTACAGCATTGGACAAATGAACTCATGGCCCCCTTGATTCAATGGATTGAAGACTCCCGCTGCCTGTGGTTTTGCTCTGGCTGCCTATGAGCAGATTGCTTCTAAACGTAGCTTTTGTATACATTATGCACAAATATAATGACATTGGGACTCATTTATACAGAATACAGTTGGTTAAAAGTCATATAAATTTTATCAGAAATATATACATCTTAAATATTTGTATTAGACAAGTATATGATTGTATGACATTTGTTGTAATTTTTTGTTACGGCATTTTGTGATTTTTTTTCTTTTTGAAGATGTATATATCACTATCATTTTTGTTCTTTGTTAATTAAAAAATAAAAATAATTTTAAAAAGTATTTATGTGATGAATTAAGAATCAAAAATAAGAATTGACTATTCTGTGTGAAGATCGAAGAAAATCGAAGATATATATAAAAAGTTGTTCTTGCAATTTACAGGTAAATTATTGTAGTTATAAGGCAACCTTAACTAATTTTGATGAATTATAGAATAAATAGGCCATTTTTGAGATGAATGTGTTATGTCATTTAACTATCTGTGAGCAAGTGACTAATCTATTAAAACAGATGCCACAACAAATTTTTTAGCTTTTAAGGTTCAAGATGTGTCCTTTTTCTGATGTCATAGATTTAAACATTATCTCACTGGTGGCTTTGTATATATGTTCAGGGAAAGTGCAGAGGTATTTGTGATACCTCCTGTAACACAGGAACTACATGAAAAGATATGGTGTGCTATCTATTTTGTCTGCCATATACCAAATCATTGGCAGAAACTACAATCCAGAGGTATTCTGCAATCTAAACATTAGACTCCTAGATGCCAAGGCATACATGGATAATGAACCTAAAGTAGATTAAAGAAAGACAATGGCTTATTTTAGACCCAACATGAGTCCAGGCAACCAGTTCCTCTATTTGTATGAAGCAAAAAGAGGCTACGTTGCTATGGTAGTTCACACACAATCCCTTTCATTAAGACAGCATTTATAATCTAAAGTTGACTTTCAGTTCTGCCTTGTTTAGAAGCAACTTACCATGTTTTCAGTCTTATGAATTATGAGTAAATTCAGCTTTCTAGCTTGTTTTATAATTCACATAAGCTGAAGAAACTGAGTGCATGCCGCATATATAAATATTCTAGCTTAATAAATTGACATTTCATTATCAGTAAATATCCTGAGATATATTGCAAGGAATGTTCATATCTTCTCACCTGATCTTTCAGAATGGTTGCTATCTTCTTGGGATGGTGACATACATGTTATCTATACTTAATCATCTGTTAATAATATAATGAATATTAAGAGCACTTGGATAGAAGTTTCACAAAGAAAAAAAGTAGATACTAGCTTCCTCACAGCACTGGAACTTACTATATCTTAGTTGCCCTGACTATAAAGAGTCCAGAATAGCAAAATCTTCCAAGGCAGATGTGACTTTACAAGTGATGAATATCATTGCTTTAAATCGTATTTGCCCGTTATTTCCTCCCTCTGTCTCTTAGTGATTGCCAATTTATAATTCACTTTCTCCTTCGGCTGTAATTTTTCAGTTCTTCTAATTCCTTCTCCATGAGGTGGGATTCAGCAGTTGTCTCAGAGAGCTGAAAGTGAAAGGCATAAATGGTAATGGAAATACATAAATACTAATGCTGCGGCACACCCAGAAGTATTTTTCTTTTAGTTTTATTCCAAAGCAAAATTATTCCAAAAGTTTGGATAGATGGGTTGGGTTTCAATCATGTGTTTGGGATAAAGGTAATATTTAAAAATAAGTTATCAACCGCAGGTAATGTATAACATATATGGTATTCTGTTCTATATTCTTAAAATACATTTTCAGACATTGAATAAAAGATCTGAACGCTGCTTCCTGCTGTTTCTACTAACCAGTAACAACCGTCATTTCTAAGTCCGACCTGCAAACCAATATGATCTTGTGGGACCTAGAACACAGATGATCTCTATACCAGTGGTTCTCAACCTTTTGAATGCCGCGACCCCAACCGATCGTAAGTCGAAGACTAAACTGGTCGTAAGTCGAGGACTAAACCGATCGTAAGTCGAGGACTACCCAACCGGTCGTAAGTCGAGGACTTTCCCTGCCCGGGAGCGCCACACATGCGTGGTTCCGCCCCCTGCACCGGCCGAGGCGTAGCTGGCAAGCGGCAGAGACGGAGCAGGCCGACCACCAGCTGGCCCAGCCCAAGGGAGGTAAGGCACCTGCTGGAAAAGGGGGAAGAAAATGGCGGACAAAAAAATGGCAGACAGCCTTGCTTGGCGACCCCCATGAAATGGTCGATCGACCCCAAATGGGGTCCCGACCCACAGGTTGAGAACCACTGCTCTATACTGTAGCTATGCTTGGCCTGTGAAACAGCATTCCCCGTAAGTCCATATATCCTGACTGTCACAAATTTTTAAAGCTGGCTTTTCCAACAAGCCTTGGAGTAGTTTGGATCATAATTTATTCTGTTTATTTATTTTTAATTGTTATTGGGTCTTTTTTTGTTCTTGGTGTGTAGTTAAATATTATTTTTATTACTTTTATTGTTTTTAACCCTAATGTTTAAGCTATCTAGAGTTGTTTTGTGATTTGAGATGGCATACATGCTGAACAAAACAAGTAAACTATTTGAAAATTATCTGGAAAAAGTCTCTCTTTCATTTCTCACTCAGAAAAAGCCTGTTGCCAGTAGTAGTTTTAATTTTCCAGATTTAAGTTTGTATAATGAGATATCTAAAGTATCTTGGATTAATGAATGGCAGGTTTTGTTCAGTGGGAAATTCTTCTTATGGGCTGTCCTGTGCTGTGGCCAAAAGCTGAGTCACCTAAAGCAATCAATTCACTTTGAAGATACAAGCATGTAAAGAACAATATACACTGGGCTCCCAACAAAGCATTTGCAGATTACTGAGAGCCTTGTGCTAAAGCAAAACCACAGCTCGTATACCTTTGGCCTCAAGCTTTTTACCACCACACCTGGAATTGGCATGTGTGGCACCCATAGTAACCGATTCAAGAGGCGTGGAATGCAATAGCACCACAAATCTTCAAATCATACTAATTTGAATTTGCAAATTGTGCTAAGAAATCATTAAGAAGCTAAATAACTCCTGAAATGTGATAAAAACAGAGGACACATTGACCTTACCATATCCAACAAAAGATCCACTTTCAGCCGAAGAAGATTGTTCTCTTCTTCTAGTTGCTGATTCCGTTTGCGAAGACGCTGTGTCTCCCTGCGATCCCCATTGCTTCCAAATGATTCTGGAATTACATATCCCAAAATTATCTAGTTGGAAGATGAAAGATGAGAGCTAGAACCCCAGCAAAAACCAATCACATTAGCTTTACTAAAATAGACAAAATAACAAGTCAGAAAAACAGTAAACTTCTGATACAAAATAACACTCTATATAGAATAATTAAAGCATTATAAATAAAGATACTGCAAGCAATATATTATAGCAAATGACTTAGGTCTGGTCTAGTATAAAACCGAGGCCAGAAAAGGTATCTTTGAATATCATAACGTTTTAGTTGCAGCTAAAAGTTCTACAATGACAGTGATGACAGCCAAACGTTTTAATGATGTAAAAATAAGGTCTTAGTAAGTTTGAGTTTGAACCCTTTTTGCATTCCAATCTGCAAGATAGTTTTACCTTTCATTTCCCAGGTGGACAGATAGAAGCCTATTATAGTACTCACATCAAGGGCTCCAACACAGACTCCATTTCATTCAGGCCCAGAAGCCCCTGTTGTTTCCTCTTTGGTTACAGCCTCTCAGAACTTAGAATATGTCTCTTAAAGTTTCCAAATATTCCTTATATTTGGATACAGGTAGTCCTCAACTTATGACATTTGGGACTCAAACTCTGGTTGCTGAGCAATGGGATTGTTAAGTGAGTCACATCCAATTTTACAATCTTTTTGCCATGGTTGTTAAGTAAATCACGCAGTCATTAAACAAATCTGGCTTCCTCCACTGTCTTTCGAATCAAATTGCATACCTATCAATAGATATCCCTATGGGTATGTTCTGGTGCATATTAAGACTATTTTATGCCTCCAAGAGAAAATGAAATTTGGTGTTGTATAAAGGATTAGAAGGAACAAGGTCTGTCTCAACCTGTGATTTAGCAAGAATACCAAACCAGATTAAACTATAATATGAATGCCAACCCTAATATAATAATTACTACTTGCACACCCAATCCAATAACAACCAGTTTTTGCAAAAAAGATGATGGCAGGAAGCGCATCAGGTGATTATGCTCCTTTTTGGAAGGAATCAGGATTTAAGCCATCTCATCCTTAAGCACGACGGTAGAATAGTGGACATACGATCCTGGATCTATACTGTCAGATTACAAGTTGTCTTCAAGTTATAATAACAATTGAGTACACATCGAGACTGTTGCAAAGCAGGTCACTATGTGACTGGACCCAATTTTATGACCTTTTTTGCAGCAGTTGTTAAGTGAATGCCGCAGTCATAAAGCAAATACTGCAATCATTAAGCAAAAACTTAAATAAGCTATTAAATATATGAATTTTTTGCTATGGGCCATTTTCTGCCAGAAACCGGAAGTAAACATCAATTTTCTACAAAAACATCATAAATTATGATCCTGTGGCTGCAGGGTGCTGCAAATGGTTGTCAATGCAGGCTGGTTACTGAGTTTCCAAAATGAGGTCATGTGGCCACAGAGGCGAAGATGCTGAAACTTCAAAATGGACTGGAGTACTTTTTTGGGACATGTCATAACTTTGAATGGTTCCTAAGCAACCAGTGGTAAGTCAAGGATTATCTGTAGAGCTATATCTCTGACACTGCAGAATACTGCAGTCACTGAGATAATTGCTCTTTCTCTCTTACCAGTTATCCACTGGCCATTCTCAAACTTCAGACTCTGTCCAGTGAGTGTCATAACAGGAGTTCCATATTCTAAGCCCAACTCAATTTCACGGGTAGATCTGTCCAGCTGAAAAACAGAAAAATCACTTTCAGTACTTTCACAATATTTTATTTTCCTTAATTTCTATTTATTTTCTAAGCATTAGGCAAGCTTGTACAAAAATGCCAAATCCATTTATTCTAGGGCATAAAAAGTATATATCTTATTTAAATATGCACAGGAAGTTGTTTAGCATCCTCACACTGATGCTACCATAATATTGCATCATTTTAGAGAAATATGGATGCAATGCTATAGCTTTAGTGTCCAGTCATTGCAGAATAGGTTGAATTCCCACCATCAAGATCAGGAAATCTCCAATATCAGATTTCTTTTCTAACCTCCTCTGAAACTAGCTCCTTCTGAGATTGGGAAATGGAAATTATAAAAAGTTCAAAACAAAACAGTAAGAGGTGGACTAGGCTGAGTTAAGATGTAAACCCCACTCTCTTCTCTAATATGTTACAAAACAGAATAAAGATTCCATAGAGCTTGAGAACTGCTCTAAATCTCTTCTTTTCCACACAATGAAAGGAAAACTTATTTTTATTTATACAGTGGTTTCTTCAAGTGGGGATAGATGGCCAAATACATTTTGCTTTCAAAATAGAAATATGTGGTTAATGTAGCCAACAATTTTGTGTTTTTATGTTCAGTTTTATAGTTATTTATTGTTAAAAAGGATATTTTATTATTTAAATAAAAATGGGTAAAGATGTGTAACATCACAAGTAGGATTCAACAAGTAACAATGTTGGCTCTGCCTTTCTGAATAATTTATATGTGACAATGGCTTAAAGATTCTTATATTCTGATGAAAAAAATAGCATAGATCTTCAGTTTTTTTCCAAAACTTACCGAATGGAGGTTGGAAAGTGAGGCTGATTTTCTGGGTGGGGTTTTCTTTGGACTGAATGTGTTTCCAAAAAGTGGCATCCTTCTAAATTCCTCTTATCTTTTAAAAAAAAAAATCCCAAAGATTATTATTTCATTGAAAAATGCATAGATCAATCACTGCCCACAAGGGTTGGAGACAGAGAACTTTTCGACTTCAACCAGACTATAAATTCCAAGCCTATATAGAAGCCTACATCTCCAGAAGATACCAGGTTTGGCCAAATAGCCCTGAACAACCATAAACATTGCTTTAATCAAATGCAACATGTGAGTATCTGTGCAATAGTGGCTGCTCGGCTGAATTTCACTGATGTGTCGCTGAATAGACCGTCTCCTCAAGGTAGCGGGTGGCAATTTTAAGACATCTTTCAAGCGATCCAGCCCTATTACCGTCTCTGCCCCCAGCAATACCCCACTGGAGGATTTTTGGAGAATCAGATATTCCGGACCTCCTGTGCCATAAATGTCGAATCCAAGTTAACGCCACATTTAAAGGAGCTCTATGACAAGGGGCGGCATTTTCTTGAAGCCACCCTGCATCTCATACCTAGTCAAACCAAATTTAGGGAAATTTCACACCATGATCACGATCACAACGCACACAACCGTTCCAACCTTCGAAACCAATCTGCGCAGGCGCGCCCTTAACCGGCGTTTGAAGCTTTGCACCCCGCGGTAGCCCCGGGAGGATAGCGCAGGATAGTTGGGACAGCAGACAGTACCACACGAGGGGAGGGGGAGATTATTTTTATTGCACAATTGCGAAAATAAGCTTTGATGTACACTCATTCAAACTGAATATATATATAAACTAAGGACGCGTAACTAAACCTCTTAACAGGAGAAGGTGGCCCTATGGGTAGAAGGCTTACGAAGTTATAACCCGTATCAGAAGATACAGCCCCCCCTCCTCGTGTAATGGTAGCGACCTACGTTACTGTGAAAGGAGGCGTGAACAGCAGCAGCGGCAATAGGATCTTACCATCATTGTAAACTGGGGGGAGGAAGAAATAAAGAATAATGATTTTGATAGAGATATTTTTAATGTTGTTGTTCAGAAGCTGTGTTCTCAAATAAATTGTTCCCGATTTATTACATTTTCCAGTAATAGCGAAGAGGGGCTAGGCTCCCCTTTAGTCTGGTATAAAGGTAGACTAAGGCAATAGTTTCTTCCGTTGGTTGCTATGGTAACAGAAGGACGCCAAGCGAGGGAGCGAAGCTAAACTCTTCCGGGAGAGGGCGGTCCGTGGCGTGATTCGAGCCTTGGCTGCTGTCGGGAAAGTGAGCTTTCTATTCCGTATTAGCCGTCCCCAAACTGAACAATGGTTGCGAGCTGTGAATGTGGTGTGTTGTTCCTGAGCGGGCAATGCTCAACAAGTTGTAGTTCCCATGTACCAAATTAGAGTCTCAGCCCGTCCAGTTTGCTCTTGGACAGATCCAGGCAGAGAAAGGAGCGCGATGCTTTGTTCCACTGTCGAATTTCTGGTATTGTTAGGAAGCGTTTTTTAATAATCGGAATCTACGTTCTAGTAACTTAAAATCCATTATTCTGGATCCTACAGTTCGGAACAGTACAGAATAGATCTTCATCATCCTCTATGTGGTCTCCTTTTTATTTACCCTGCCTTGATGTAAGGCAGTGGACTTCGTTTCCACTGTGATTTATTTTATATCATCACGTAAACCATATATCTTCCCCACAGTGCCCCATTTTCCTATATAAATGTCTTAAGTAAATAAATTCATGTTGGAAACTGAGCAATAGCTAGCCAATATAATTAAATCCAAGTTCATTTTTTTTTGAAGAGGATTGTATTGGAGCCCACTTCAAAGTCCCCAGCATATTGTCCCCCTCCCCCCACCTCCCCCACTACATTCATGATAGTCCCAATTCAATCTTCGCTTCCCTCCCTGATAGCTAATGCAACTGCTTTTTACTCTGGCACTTCCTTACTTCTTGCAGACTCTTCCCAGATGATATCACAAGGTGTCACCATGGTTTTATTCTTGGACTCTGTCCAGCCAGCTTCTAACTCAGTGGTTCTTAACCTGTGGGTCGGGACCCCATTTGGGGTCGATCGACCATTTCACGGGGGTCACCAAGCAAGGCTGTCCGCCATTTTTTTTGTCTGCCATTTTTTCCCCCGCCATTTTTTCCCCTTTTCCGGCGGGTGCCTTACCTCCCTTGGGCTGGGCCAGCTGGTGGTCGGCCTGCTCCGTCTCTGCCGCTTGCCAGCTACGCCTTGGCCAGCGCAGGGGGCGGAACCACGCATGCGCAGCGCTCCGGGGCAGGGAAAGTCCTCGACTTACGACCGGTTTAGTCCTCGACTTACGACCGGTTTAGTCCTCGACTTACGACCGGTTTAGTCCTCGACTTACGACCGGTTGGGGTTGCGGCATTAAAAAGGTTGAGAACCACTGTTCTAACTCGTATGAAAAATAAATTCCATCTGCAAAATACTTCATTAATATATCTTCCTTAATAGGGTCCAAGCTATTGTGAAAAGAACTTCCAACAACAAGTTGCCAATATAGTTTCCTATGTAAGTGACTCCTTTTGTTTCCACATTCCAACACAAGCTGATGATAATTTGTTAACTTCAAGGATGATTGAGAATAAAATGACTGAATAAAAGTGTGTTTAAATAAAACTATGCTTTCCTTCCTGATTTTTTTTTAATGTTGTTTTCTGCAGGATGGATTTCATACATACTAAAGCATTTTTAAGCCCCCTAAGTGGGTTCTTGATTTTGCCATCCTCAACCCAAGAAGAGAGAAGCAAAACCATGAGTTGCAATTTAGATGACCTTCCACGCTGTATCTTTTTTTTCACTAACTACAAATAGCATGAAGTTTGCATGAAAATATTGCTTTATATTTACATGTATATTTCCATTTAGCAGAAATATGCTTTTGTGATACAAATTGCTATTGGACCAAGTCCCCACTTAATTTATTTTAAAAGAGACTTGAATTGGATCTCTGAATTAAATGTTTGTTATGAAAAATACAAATAATTGCAACCAAACAAACTAGATTATTTTAATTGTGATAAAAATAATTATTTGTTCAGAGTTTTACAAATCAGAGTAAACTTCAAATCTGTGATAGGTAATAGAAAGGTGAAATTTGGCAATCAAATGGATGTCCTTTGGTTCCTTACACAGTTATGAAAAATACCTTGTATGTGAAGTTAGTGTCATTAAAGTATTTGGGGTCAAGAAAAGAAGCTAGCAGAGTTAAACCCCAACAGCTCCTTCACAAAATACTAACAGCAAATCTAAGAATTTAGTAGTATTAATTATGAGAAGATGGAATGGAAATTCAATTCTAACTTTGCACCAACCAAGATCAGTATTCTAGAAAGTCTAGCTTCTATATTCTTAAATGATTTTTTTTTTCTTCCATTTGGTTGTATCCAATTCTTGGAGACTGCCTGGACAAGTCCCTGCAGTTTTCTTGGCAAGATTTTTCAGAGGTGGTTTGCCATTAGGACTAGAATTCATGAGCTCCTGGTTTCTAGCCTGGTGCTTTAACCACTACACTAACCAGGCTCTCCAAATAAAATAATGAATATCATATTTAAAAAGCAATATTAAAGGAAAAAGGAACGGAAATAACAGCAACATTTGTATATTCTCTTTATAGACTTGAAAAATCCCTTAACAAAATTGTTAGTGTATGTCATTGGCAATATACAAAATGTGAATAAAAAAATATCTCATTTAGAATTGGGACTGAGAAGATATGACAGTAGTGATGTGGTAAGCAAAGATATATTGCAGCATTTTTAACATGCAGAATTCCAGAATGTTTTTCTGATGTAATTTTAAAAAACTTAGGGATTGTCAAATACTTTGCTTAGCCTTTCTGATGACAAGCTAAAAATCAGTGCAGTTTTTTTGTTTCTAAATATAAATACACTTATATAGCTGAGTAGGTGCACAAAATAAAAGACAAATACTAAGCTGATGAAGCTACATGAACAGTTTAAATAATGAAAGCTTTTCAGCTTGAGAGTACTTATGCACAAATGTATATAGTAGAAGAGCATAAAAATAGTTAACAGACTTTGGGGAAGAGTATTGGTGGTTATTAGTTGTATTGCTATTCTTCACACCAGAGTTAGATCATTCTTGTTCCACATGAATGAATTATTTACAAGGTTAGACATTGTTAGAAATATGGAGATTTGGATTTCTTTAAGTAAATGAAAATTTATAGAGCAACTGGAAATGAAAAACATGATTCTAGGAAAGCCAAGCACTTTAAAATTCCATTACTTTTGATAGAGGAGATGTATTATTTTAACTGTTCAGATAAACAGGAATTACAGAATAGAGAATATTTTATTTTACAGTTCTCCACAAATAAGATAAATTTCAGAACTTTTAAAGAAGATTGTATCTGTTTATCTTTTTCTTCACTGTTACGACTGAAGGTGATTGAGGATATGATGCAGAGGAAGTATGCAGGGTTGAAGGGTCCTAGAAAAGGAAGACGTATAAGCAGAGTAAAAGGTAAGCATAATGACAATATTAAATTAGTGATCTAATTGCTTCAAAACATAAGATTTCATTACATCATATTTAAAAATATCCCTTTTTGTCATTGTTGCTTAAATCAGATGTCTTACCAAACTGTTCTTCTAGTAACCATAGATAAGAATCCAGAATGTTTGAGGAAACTGCTGTTAGATGTGTACTTTTACCCCACTTCTATCTGCTCAATATACAGCTTCAAAATTTCATAAGTTCACTCCTGGAGCATGAGTACAATTAGGGATGGGGAACATAGCAATGGTCCTAATTTTGGCTTATCAGAGGATTATGAATCAGGGCTAATACCAAATTATAGTAGCTGATTTTTGTGTACAAATAGGCTCCATTTAGGTTTAAATGCATGACAATACAAAAGCTATTGACAAGGAAAAAGTCTACATTTCTGGGCCTCCTGAATAATTACATACCAATTAAATTTGCATATTAAGTGTGCTTCTACTCAGGTGGTCAATATGAGTGTTCTTGTTTTTATATTGCAGAGAAGGAACAGGTGGTGATACAAAAGTATGGAAGGCTTGGGTCAGATGCAGGTACTTTAAGAAATCAGAAAAAAATAGCTCAGAAAAAGGTATGATATTGAGTGGCAAATCAAGAGTCACTCTTTCCTATAAGTATATAGTATTTAGAAGCTATATTATTCTTAATGGTTAGGAAATACAAACTTTACTGTGGGATGTATGCTATGAAGAAATCATACAGGATAAGAATTTTTATATTTAGTGACTTTAAGGCCGGGGGATGCTTCTGCGACCCGCTGTGGCCTGATCTGGGCTCCAGAGGTGTTTTCCAGGCTGCTGCTGCCCGGATCTAAGGCCAGGGGATGCTTCTGCCCCCCCATGGCTCGATCCGGGCTCTGGAGGCATTTTCCAGGCTGCTGCCGCCCGGATCTAAGACTGGGGAACGCTTCCGCATGCCCCCCCGCGGCCCGGTCCGGGCTCCGGAGGCATTTTCCAGGCTGCTGCCACAGGGATCTAAGGCCGGGGGATGTTTCTGCGCCCCACCATGGCCCGTTCTGGGCTCTGGAGGTGTTTTCCAGGCCACTGCCGCCTGGATCTAAGGCCGAGGAACACTTCCGCGTGCCCCCATGGCCTGATCCGGGCTCCGGAGGCGTTTTCCAGGCCCCATCGGGCTGCGGGGAGGCCGCAGAAGTATTCCCTGGCCTCAGATCCAGGCGGCAGCAGGAACCATGGCAGAGAAGAGATGGATTTTTTTCTAGTGAGTCCGGCATGGCAGGAAGGGAGGAGAAAGCATGCGGTATCTTAGTGGGTCGGGGAGGCCTTGGGGGCCTGTTCCATCACTAGGCCCTCCATGGCCTTCCCCATCCTGAGGTACCTCATGTTCGCTTAATGAGCCACGTGCGTCTTAATGAGCAAGGGAGTGATCTCATTCGAGGTACGAGATTCACTCTATGAGTTTTTGAGTTACGAGTGGAATGGGCAGGATCCATTACACTCATAACTTGAGGACTACCTGTATTTAGCATTTAGTAAAGAGTAAGCAATCTGTGACCCACATTTTTTTTTAAATCCTAGAACCTGCTCTGAGTCTGCTTATTGCACCTTTACAGTATAATTTGCCACCATATTTATGCAAAATACCTACATGATCATAGTGCGAATCCTCTAAAATAAAATTAAAGTAGTTATAAAAAACAAGAAACTCTGAAAGTATAGGAAAAAAATCTTAGCTTTCTCCATGTATATGTAACATTAAATAATCAATGAACCCTTGGATCATCATTTCAGAGATATTTCCTTACCAGATTCCTCAAACCTTTAGCACTGAGTTTTTCAGCAGAGCTCCTAGTGTATTTGAAAAGTGCTTAAAATTCAGGGAGATATTCAGAGATGCATCTGCCTTGAAAGTAGGTCATACTGAATTGTATAATATAATCAAGTATCAGGAATTGACCACAAGAAATGTGTTATAACATTTTGTATTATGTCATAAAATATTTTATGATGATTTTATAAGATTTGCCAAATTTCAATTCTATGGAAGTCATGGGTCCCAGATTTTGGAGGCATTTTATAAGTTAACCCATATGAGGTACCTTGGTTGAAAAGATTTTGTTCTATGTTTCACCGTTTCACTGAGTTAAAAGTTACAGACAAGAGATAGATAGATATTTATATTCATTTTATATTATTGCCACATCCACTGAAGATTTGGCCTCAGCTCTACATTTAAATCATTCCTCACTCCTGATTTAGACAATAGTTTTAAACATTAACATTTTTTAAAAAAAGTATTGTTAAAATATTGAAATATAAAAGGAGGAAAAGAAATGAGACAGAACAAAGGAAACACCATATATAGATTTTAAAAAAGAAAAAGGCATAGTAAATAGATCTTCCCCTTCCTTTCCATTGTTTCCTCAACCATTAACCATAATATAAATATTTATACTTTAAATAGAACATTAGTGGTTGTTGTTCACTTCCAATTAAGTCCTAAAAACGCTATTCTATATTACATTCAAGAAGTTTCTGCATTCATTATCTTAATGTAGTCTATAAAATAACCCAGAATCTTTATCAACCCCATATTATAAATAAGAGTTGTGGTTGAAGGCCAAACCAGGCATGAACTGAAACACCTGGTAGATAATTATTAGCCCGGGTGGATATGAATTCTATTAGAATCACTGTATGTGGCAGATACCTCCCCTGAGAAAATTTTCCTCCTAGTTGCACTTACTGCTAAGCCCAGAGAAGTAAGGTCTGACTGGTATAAATGACAGCTTACTTTCTTTTATCTACCAGGATCCAACCTTTGTTTCAGGTATACCATAGCTGGACCTGGAATGACTTTATAAAGCTTCATTTGGTACACTAATGTTGGTCATTCCTGCTAAAGGAAGATCTAGACTTCGTTATGAATCCCATGGTTTGAGGTTGGACTATGATAATATAGTCTGTACAAAAATAAAAATACTATTTTCCTAATAATTATAATTATATTAATTAAATAAAACAATATTCATAATAGTAAATATTGTTATGGAAATAACGTAGAATTTTAAGGATGTGGAATTTATTGTTATCATCATGCACCACTTGTATATGAGGAAAAACTTAAAATACTCCCCACATGCTTGAATAATCATATGCATTGTCCCTCCCCTATCAAATTAAAATCTCTTAATAGTGTTTTTTTAGTAAAAGAAATGCTTAAAAGAGCCAATAAATAATGTAGTTTGGCCCATAGTCACAGTCTGTGCAAGCAGATTTAATCTGCAAATTCTATAAAGATCAGGAAGCATAAAGTAGTATGTTCTGGCTTATTGTGTATATGGTAACTGTCATTTTACTTAGCTTTTACTTACAATGACTGCTTTAATCGGATCTGAGGCCTGAATCCTGCTTAATAAGCCTTAGTTCATCACTACAAGAATAACTAGGGCTTAATTTGCTTGGTACAGTGAGTCCCTAGTTTGACTTATTTACCAATACATTATACATTAAACTTAATATATTCTGGGCAATATTGCACCTTGATTGAAAGATAGCTAACCACACCCATTTTATTAGGCAGACGGACATTCATTTTTTCTGAACAGATTGCTTGAGTACAACCTATTGAATTATGGGCCTCCTATGTTTCTCATGTATTATTTCTTCCTTTGATCCTTAGATGATCACAGAAAAGAATAAACTTGTAGAGCTCTATCATTACCCAGGATATCATGAAGAGGAAATGACACCACTGCCCAATGGAATAGAGCTGAATGAAATTTTGGAGAAAGTGATTCGTGCTCAGAGTAAAACTGTAGTTGGGAAGGTAGTTCAGACCTTCGGGGTTTATGTGGCAATACTCTTACTTCTGGAGAAAAATAGCAGGGATAGATTAACCATATATTTACTTGCTTTAATGTCTATTAGCACCTGATATTAAGTGGCCTTAATGCCCCCTGGTGATGACTGCACAGGGATTTTGGTTTTTTCCTTGCTCAGCTTCAAATGAGTACAGTAGATCTAGTTATCTTTCTAATTAACAGAGTATCTAGATGCAACCACTTGGTATGAACAAAAGATTCCATCACTCAGTTACCCAGGATAAAGATTCAAGGAACAACTTTTGTGATTTACAGATTGAGATGAAACCAGCTTTACAGTTTGAATTGGCTCAGTTGAGAGCATGATCTTAACTATTCTCTTCAGGTTTGAACTATGCTTACTTATTCAGATTAGTTCACAATTTGGAGAGCTGAGATTCAAAATATAACTTAAACCCCTTGTTATGACTGCTTAATATAGTTCTGATTAGGCCCGCTAGGTCTAAGGTAAAACAAGATGATGGAGTAAATATACAGTAAAATAATCTTTTCAGACAATTCTTAAAATATCTTGACTAGTAGTTCCCAGCTGACCTCCTCCAGATGTACAAGATATTGCCAGGCTTTGTCCGTTCATAGAGGGAAGTCAGATAATTGCAATTCCACACTTGTGGAGGGTTCGTAACATAGGAGGGAAGACAGATATAGACTATGGTGTTACTCTTTTGTTTCTTTACAGACGAAGTGGGCTGTGAAAATGCTGCACAGGTTTTTTGATGTTCCAAGCACCCGAGCTGTTTTGCTGGATAGTTTCTGGTGGCAATTCCTGCACTTATATCATGTAAGGATAAAGGGTGGTTATTGATTAGATTGTTAAATTCCATTTCTCCAATTTTTCATTTTTTGTTCACCATTTTTATATCATTTCACCTGTTTTAAAAAAATGGTATTCCAAATCTATATCTCTAATATGTTCTATATAATTATAAAATTATAATAAGCTATTCAGAATTTTGAAATATTGGCAAAGAAAAACTATAATGGGTTTTTTTAAAGTCTTATAACTATTGCTTTAATTTGGATTTTTGCATTAATAGGAGTACAGGTAGTCCTTGACTTACACCATTTGTTTAGTGATGTTCAAAGTTACGACACAGAAAAGGTGACATGACAGTTTTTCACACTTTCAACTGTTGCAGCATTCCCATGGTATGTGATCAAAATTCAGACACTTGGCAATTGACATGTATTTATGGCAGTACAGTGTCCCGGGGTCATGTGATCATGCGACCTCCTGACAAGCAAAGTCAATGGGAAAGCCAGATTCAATTAAAAACCATGTTACTAACTTACTGCTGTGATTCACTTAACAACTGTGGCAAGAAAGGTCGTAAAATGGGACAAAACTCACTTAACATCTGTATTACTTAGCAATGGGAATTTTGGGCTCAATTGTGATTATAAGTCAAGGACTACCGGTAGCTTGCTGACCTAAGTGTCCTTTCCAGTTCTTTGATTCTGTACCATATACAGTAATGTTAAAACGATGTTATTAAAACCAGTGAAATACATATTTATTATATTCACTAAGGTGTTATGTTAACAATTTTGTATAGGGGAGAGAAAAAGTCGTATCTGATCATATATCTCAAAAATGTGAATATTGCAATCCAGAGCATCAAACTTACAAATTTACAAGGATAATGCAGGAGGAGAGAATCAGACAATGTCTGTCTGTCTATCGCATTTTTGGCAAACCGATACAGTATATTGGGTGTCAAACTGGCAGCCCCGCAAAGGCCACACCCACCCCGCTCCGCAAAGGCAAAAAAGTCACGATACATCACAGTACATCACATGACACGATCGAATTTGACTCCTGTGCAGTATATGATCCTTCCTCCTTCCCTTCCTCCCTCCTTCCCACTTCCCCTTCCCTTTTAACTCCCTCTCCCCTCCCTCCCTCCCTTCAAATTTATATTTCTTAAGTAAAATTGTCTGAGTAGCCTGGAATTGAAGGATAGCTTTCTTTTATTTAGGAAACTTAAATTACTTATGTATTGGAGGTTTTTTTGGAAAGAAAATTAGGAACATAGAGAAGTAGATTTTACTAGAAGCCTGGGATATGTTAAGTTTTATTTTTGACAATAATAAAAATAAAATCCATTCACAATCTAATTGTTCATACAGAACTGTATTTATAAAGTCTAAAAATATAGGATACATGCTACAAATGTTAATTCAAAACCTAGATAGATTGTCCTTAAATGGTAGCATTGAAGAGGGCTGATGAACCTCCAAAGTCTGTAAGTTAACATGCAAAAGTGATTATATGACCCCAAGACACTGTAACCATCATAAATATGAGTCAGTTGCCTAGCGTCTGAATTTTGATCACATGACCATTGGGATGCTACAACATAAGTGTGAAAAATGGTCATAAGCCACTTTTTTCAGTGCTGTTATAACTTTGAACTGTTGTAAATTAAGGATTATCTGTACTTCTCAGAGGCAGTCCCATTTACATCTAATGACAGTATGCTTTTACTTTAGGCTTCTTGTCACTAGTTTTCCTTCCCAAAATTCCATTGCCATGACACTGTGGTTAAATAAATATGCCTTCAATAACTATGTAATTTATACTTCTCCCAATAGCCAAATCGAGAAATTCAGGGGCACTTATTTGAACGCATTGCAGAAAATTATGCCAGCATTCTATTAGGCAATCCCAGGGTTTCAAACCAGGAATGCATCCTCAAGGTGAGTAAATGTTTTAAGAAATACTGGACTATAAGCGATATTAGTGTTATTTTTTTAATCAAATCTTAAGTGTGATATGATTTAAATTTTAGAAATACAGGAAGACGTTTTAAATCTAAGGGTTAAAACTGGGACACTATTGAATATTACACTATGGTTTCTTTTTCAATAATCAGCTTATGGCTTCTTATTGTGTAAAATGTATGCCATCTCTTCTTGATTTCCAGTTAATACCAATGCTTCCCCCTCCTAAGAAAAATAGATAAAAATAAAGATGAACTTAATCTATTTTCATAAGCAGTCAGTATTTCTGTCAGTAGCTTTCTTCTGTTACAGTACTTATTTCTAGGAACTAGTTTTCAAGCAATACGGAAGTTCACTTGAATGTGAATTTCTGTCTACTTTTCATTAATACCAACTCAGTATCTATGTAGTTATCTACATCTTTTTTAAACTGTGATTTAATCCGCCAAAATTATATATTTGCTATCTTTACTCTTGTGGCACGCTACGGTTTCGGAGGAGTAAGCTAAATGCAACATCACCATCTGAGTAATTATGTAATGATTTCTACTGGAAGAAATCATTGCTCAAGCCTATACACAGAAATCTTCTTGTTTATATCTGAGCGAAACTAGATAAGATTCAACAGTATTCAGGGGGAGGGGGAATTCGGACACCTTCGGGCCCATATAGGGATTCTAGATTAAGTCCTCATTTGACTCTTCCCCCTCGCTCTGTCAGTTCTTTCCTATTGAAGGTTAGGAGAGAAGATGACGATTATCTGACTGCCAATCATTAAACTTCTAATTGAGGGACTTTTGAAAAGATTTTAAGGAGGTTTAATATTCTTATAACACAGGTTGAAAATTAATTGGCTGAGAAATTTAAATACTCAAATACAATTGCCATAGATTTATTTGAGATTCACACACACCCTCCTGCTTTGTTTGAGTTTTTAGTTTTTTCCATCACTATTGAGTCAAGCTGTGTACATCTGCTTCTGCTCCTGTTTCCCGAGGTCCTGGTTTAATACCTCTGAATTCAAAGCCCAACTTTGTGATGTATTCTTCGAGTGGCTGGGAGGTGAGATGCCATGATATCCTTACTCAAGAAATGGTCATATAAGTTTTGAACATGCACTGTCACTGCCTTTCCGCTTACTTATCCTAGATGGGAATCAAGGGATGAATCTACTACTTGCACCTTCCAAAAATTAGTTTTTTAAACTATTGCAACAAAAATGTTGATTATGGCATAAGTTTTTGTGAACTAGAGGCCAAAGTGTGCCATAATAATAATTTTTTTAAATGTTTTTTTAAGATTCTTTGTTGTTTCAGCTAGTTATATGCCAAGATAATTTGTCCTTGTATTTCTTAAGCACAGTATTTTTTATATCAGTTAGGCAACTTTATGAAAAAAACATTTAAACACAGCATGTAATATGGCATATGAAAGAATGCTGTTTATAAAGACAGCATACTCCACGCCTATACTGTAGTGTTTTATTAACTTCTGGTGGTATAACCTTTTAACAGTTATCCTGTAGTAGGTCAGGAAAAAGATCTAAAAAAGGTTCTCCAATTTTTTTCTAATTGCTTGAATACTTGGAATTTTATTGCCCTAGGTAGCTAGTGTACCTTTATTTAGGATGGTTGTCACTGTCTACCAATATATGAGTTAAAGATCAGTTGTGTTGCCTGGGCTGCATAGAAATCATATCAGTTGGAATCTCAACATATTTGGATGGCCCAGGTTGCAAGATACAGTATATGCACCAAAGCCTTTTTCCCAGTTATGAACCCAGGTGGCTCATAATCTGAAAAAAATATGATGTTGTGCTGGAACTAAACAGATCTATCCCTCTTGGCTGTATGAATACAGACTGGTTGGGAACAATAAATGTTAATCTCTTCAAATGATCTTTACGTAATCAGATAGAACATGCTATTTGAAAACACGTGTATTAATTTGAATTCATTCAGTTCTTTAAATTTCTTCCTCTCACTCCTTTTGTTTCCGTATATAGTCTAAGTCATAGTCAACATCATCCACTAGATTATGATTTTTACTATGAATCCTTTTTTGCACAACCTTGTTAGGTACACTGCATGAACCAAGAAGTTTCAATAAATGGGATTACTCCCAGCTGGAACCAGAACGATCAAGGAGAGAAGATTTGATGTCAAGAAAGAAAAAAATAGGGACTGGTAAAAATCCTGATAACATTTATGTTTTTCTTTCTTACATAAAGGAAAATGATCATTGATTTTAAATGAAGTAGTTTCTCATTATGAACCATTATAAAGTATTAAACGGTAAAGGGAAAAAATGACATCAGTAAAATTTAAACAATATGCCAGTTCCCCTTTTATTATATTTCAATCATGCCAAGAAGTCAAAATGAAATCAAGGTTTGTATAGAGTTGTCATGGATTAGTGTTAAATATATGATTTGCTTGCAAAATTAAAGTTTTAGTAAAACATTAATAGTACATACATCTTAAAGCAAAGATCAGCTATAGTAAATAGATTAACCTGAAAACGGTGCTCAATTTGTCTGAGATTTTGTAGAACGTGAGCATCTGGATGTAAATAACTATTGCAAGTCATCTTACTACTTTCTAATCCACTCTATCATACTAACTGTAATATAAGTCTAGACACTTGGTTTAATTTTCTCAGGATTATGTACCTACACAATACCTGAAATTTTCTGCATGTGGATAAATGGCAAGTTAAAACAACCCTGATCATAATATGCCTTAGAGATGAAGAACAGTCTATAGCAGTGATGGTGAACCTTTTAGAGACCGAGTGCACAAACTGCAATCCAAAACCCATTTATTTATCACAAAGTGCCATTTAACCTGAATACTGAGGTTTTAGTTTAGAAAAAACAACTCATACATTAACATCTTTTGTCTTAAAAGAAAAACACAATAATAACAAAGCTTTCAATGATACAAACAACTTTTTATTGAAAGGTAAATGTTTGCATTTGGCATGCTTTTGAACAATTAATGTGATTTTTGCTGTTTTATGTATGCTGATAATATGTTTAAACTTGGCTTATACTTTGTAAGTTTGAGAGCAACACATGCAGCAGCCAGGTCATCTATTAGTCTGTTTCTGGTGTCAGGTTTGATATAATTCAAAGCTGAAGACAGCTGCTCACAAGCATAAGATGATCCAAACAAAGTAAGGAAAGCAATCTCAAGTGCTTTCATTGACTTAAAATTATTTGGCAGAGAATTCCACACTTTAAGGATTTCATTTTCAGAACTGTGCTGTCCTTTGCCATCCTTGTTTTCGCAGGATTGCTCTCAATAAGAGTAAGCCACGCTTTGGCTCCGTTTTTGCCAGGAAGGGGCTTGGGAAATGGCTTTTTCCTGGTGAAAACAAGCCTCTGGGCCCTGATGCTGGTGGAGTGAGGCAGCGGAGGCCAGAGCAGACCCTTCCCCATCTCCCCTCGCTACCCCAAAGCCTCCCTTCACTAACCTCCTTTCCAGCTCTGTTTACCACCACCGCGTGCAGGGCAACAAAAGAAGCTTGTGGGGCTACCGATTTAAAAAAAAAGTTCAACCAGACCTTCCAACTTTGCAAGATCTTTTTTTTTTGCGAGAAGTTGGAAGGTCAGATTGATCTCTTTTTTTTTAATCCCACAAACTTTTGTTGCCCTGCACAAAGAGAACGGAGCTGGAAAGGAGGTTAGTGAAGGAATGTGGTTGCCCTGGGGTGGGGGTCAGGATTTGGCATTGTGGATGCCCTGAGCCCATCTATTCCGTGCGGCCGGCCTGGCGTAGTTTGATTATGTTTCAGTGGGGTTTTTTTTACGGGTGTGTTTTTAGAACAGGCCTGTTATTTAATTCGATTTTAAAACAAACTATTTATTTATTATCGTGGTTTTTAGTATCGCCTGTTCACCGCCCTGAGTCCCGCAAGGGAGATAGGGCGGTATATAAATTTAATAAATAATAATAATAATAATAATGGGGGTTAGGGTTTGGCATTGTCCAAGGGAGACCACTGTGCCTCAGATAGACGGCGTGGAGTCGCTCCTTGTGAAGTGGGGGAAAGGGGTGCAAGTGGGCTTGTTGATTATATACCTGGCTCCCTGCTATGTATCAACAGCCCTGCCTGAGCTGGCTGACGTGATAGCCGGGGTGGCGGTGAGGACCCCCAGACTTATGGTCTTGGGGGATTTCAAC